GTGTCATACTCATAAAAAGTGAAACACAGGATTCTTCTTAAATATGACAGTAAACTTTTAAAAAATCTTTAACATCACAATTAAGCTGAATTTTTGTTGGTAATTTCCTTTTTTTTTTAAAACCAGAATCTCATCTGGTGAAAAAGATTAAAGACTTCTTTTAAGTATGAATGTGAGTTGTTCTTATCTGGGAGTAATACACATAGATCATGAAAACCATTTATAAGAAGGTTTCGCTTATCAGAGACTTCCAAAGCAAATGATCAAACAAAGAAGAATGTTGCTGTTAAGATGCCCAAACCCCCAAATCTAGCTCCCACTATCGGCACTTGACAGATGAAGGCCTGACTCTTTTTTCTAAGCGCAGTGCACTTATACTCTGGTGCTAATCACCTAAAAGCTGCAGCCCAAGGTTGGCTGGTCCAGGGCAAGCAAGCAGCTCCATTAAACTGAGTCAGCAAAATCTTAAAAGGATTAATTATCAATTACAATACTACCCAATTACATTAATCGACCAATGTTTCTATCCAAGAAGAGTTGCTAATGTTCGTTCTCTGTCCTCAGGATTTTACTGTAAGAACTTTATGCTTTAAATGTGATTGAAATAAGTACTGAAAAGGGCTATATGTCAGAAATGAATACTGCTTCTTAATTCTATGAATTTTAATTTAAAATACAGATTCAGACACTAGAAGATTTGTGTTTGTCTTTAATCCATTTTCATTTCCCAGGGTACACTTAGTACAGTGTATCTGTACCTAAATACTGGTATCTTTAATGATTGTTTCCAATGCTCCCCCCATAGTTATTTTGCATTTCTAATTTGCTTGGTACACAGGCAACCAATGTGCATAACTGAACTGCAAATGGAAGCGTGCTTGCTACTTTAGTGAAATTAGAATTCACTGAAGGTTATAAAAATATTAAACTTAATATCATATTACAGGAAGCGTAAGTATTTTTGATGGGCCCATAATTTTACCACTTCACCTGCTGTATCTGCTGGCAAACATGGTTTGGAATATTAATGAAAAATTCCCTCATTATTAAACTGCAGTATTAAAAAAAATCTACAACTACTAACAGCTTACCTACCACAAAGACATTTTCAGAAATTATCTACCTTAAAAATATTTTCCAACCAGACAGTTCAGAAAATAGATTTAATTTTGTAAAGCTAGAACAAACAGGGAGACCCCCCACTGCTTCAAACAATTCATTAATTCAAAAAGTTCTATTTTCTTTGCATGTAAAAACTCAGGGGGGAAAAAATCCAATCTCCCCTTCTCCCATCTCCATTTAAGTGTGCCTATTTTGCTGAGGTCCACAATTGAATAATTCTAGTAGAGGGTGTGTATCAAGGAGCAAGGGGCCAAAACCACAGCATTCTGGGCCAATTAATGCAAACAGAGAGCACCCTGCACCCCTCACCTACTGCAGTGCCTCATCCCACAGGCAGGGATCCCAGAAGCAGCTCCTGCAAGAATGAGATGAGATGAGCACCCATCTAAAGGACAAAGAAAAGGATGCAAATCATAGACCCGAGTGACCAGATCCCAAAACACCCCTTTGGCTAGTCCACACATTTTCATCTATTGGCACAATAAGTTTAGGTTATGCCTGTTTGCAACCGTTACTTTACCACCTAAGTTTATAAAATGGAGTTGTTTTTTTTAAGGACCCAATAGTGATTTGCCATCTTCTGAAGAAAATAACATGACAGGTCAGAGTCTGGACTTTTGACGCATAATGTAAGGTCCTATGAACATCATCAGGTTAATCTAAAAGCTGAGAAGAGCTTCACAGGGTGTGTCTAAAAGACATCTGTCTGACAGCTAGAAAAGTCTCCCTCTCCCATCACAACCCTGAATTGAGTGTCTTCAAACCTCAGTCTTTCTGGCCAGCTCCATGGGTAGATATGATCCTCCCCCTCCTCCTCCTCCTTCTCTCCCTCCCCGCCCCCTCTCTCTTAAGAATGATTCATAACCTTCCCTAATAGCTAGCACATCCCAGGGGTTTTCAGAAATGAGAGAGAAATAACGTACTAGTCATGTCGTTTTCAGGCACGCTGAGACATTCCATGTGGTAGGCAGGGCAATGCCAGTAGCCAACTTAAAATACTAGTTGATTTGATGGCCGCCTTTTTACAGATTATATTTGAAAATTTACTAGTGGCTTTTCACTATAAAACAAATGTATATTATAGAAGGAAGAAAAAACACGAATTTCTTCTTAAAATTAGAAAAAGTCCATAAATTAGTAAAATGTATGGAATTTACTTATTTCTAAAAAGGCAATTCAAATATGTACAATCCACCTTCAACAAAAACTAGCCAGTTTTTGTCAAAACTAGTGGAAGAATAATGCAATCCCACTCTTATACCATGCTTTCAGTTAACACAGTATTGGTAAGTACTGTGAGGTAGACACTATTCTCTCCATTTTACAGATGAGAAAACTAGAACCTAGAGAGGATAATGGATTGGCTCAAGATCAGCCAGCAGGATAAACAGCAGAGCTGGGCATCCTGTTCAGGTTTCTGGACCCTAAATCTAGCGATCTCTGAGGAGATGGGTGACACCAAGCTTGGCCATGTGCACACCTGGGGAGAAGGGAAGGCTGGCCTTTGGACAATCTGCACTGCCTGTATGCTGGCATCCTCCTCCTGAGGATATCCTCTCTCCCAAAGAAACCTGGGAACGCTACGTACTCACCAAGATGTCATCACGCAGCTGCATGTTAAGAGGACCCTTGGAGAAACGCAGTGCTTTTTACCCCAAGATATTAATTTCTAAGAAATGATACAGTGGCCCCTCAGCCATAAAACCATAAAACTGCAGCCAATGGGTACCAGTCTCCTTTGCCGACTGGTGAGGCTGTCCCAGAAATGCAATGACACCTGGCTTCACTCAGGTGCACCTCAAGCACTGAGATAAATACACATCAACTAAAAACAAAGGAGCCCTTTCTCCTGTGCAAACATAACCTAGTCCCAACTAGGAAGGCCTGCAGACACCTGGACACTTTAGTATTCAATTGCTTTTCTCCCCCAAGTACATTACATTTTGAGAGCCGTGGTACTTTATGTTTTACATTCATTTGTAAGTGGTGCCATCCCAACACTGTTGAGGCAGTTTAGTGACACAGAAGAGCCACTGGATCCGGAGCAAACACAGCTGGCTTCAAATAGCAGCTCTGTCACTAATCACCCACATGACTCTAGATGATCTTGCCCTCTCTCTGTACCTGACCTTCTTATCTGCAAAAGGAAGGCCACAACCACAGAATCTTGGTCTTCCTTCAGTAGGTAATCATAAATCAAATGCCCAGGGCTAGTTATTGCTTTAAAAAACCTTCCTATGATGAGGAAAAGATGACTCTTTCTGCAAGAGACACACACACTTTATATTCAACACTGGGAAGCACACCTCCACTGTCCAACTGCCTGCTGAGACTATTTTATTCAGAAAACCAAGTTGCTGCCCCCATGTTGACTGTGAAAATTGGTAATTCTCATCTACTGACAATCTTGCTCAAATTTGATATGGGCAAGGAAATCGAGAGGAAAAAAGTCAATAAAAGAAGGGAATAAAAGATTTCAGCTACCCTTGATTTCAGCAGAAACACTGAAACCATATGGATCCAAGGGGCAAAGAAACGCTGACATCCTAAGTCCCTTCCCTTCTCCAGCATGCTGCAGTTCACAGCCTGGGCTTCAGATGGAGTGATCCACAACTTGGCTCTGTCACTTGCCAGCTGCATGAGCCTGCGGCCACTGGTCTCCTTCTTAGTACAATGGAGGCAATGATGCATTCCTCACAGGGCAGATAACAGAAATTACATGAGATAATGTGTGTGTAAGCCCAGTATATAGGAGACCCTCAATAAATGTTGGATCCCACCATCCTGACTTCTCCAGGATAATAACCTGATTCAAGAGTCCAGATCAGGTCTTACAGCCTCAGAGAGAAGCACATAGGATAGCTGGTGTAGGCGCACCATAATGAGAGAGACCAATGGATGTAGGGAATAACAGTCTGCAGAAATGAAGAGATAATGAAACACCTTATATCTTTCCAAAGAGGTGAATCATTTTCTTTTAGGTGTCAAATGAATAGCCAAATGAATCACAATCAAAATCTGCCATGGAAACACCAGCCAGATACCCTTTTCCAATGAGTAGTAGCTTCTAATGATGCAGAACCCTCTGTGACACAGAGTCCCCTGATACTTAAAGGACAGACACACACTCCCTGGAGCTCCTCCACAAATACAAAAGGCATTCTTAGATCCAGAAGTTCTAATGAGCTAAAAGTTTATTCCATTTCTAAAATACATTTAAACTCAAACCCATCACTTACATCTCCTTAATTCTGAAATCCAATTCTCAATTTGGGCACTTTACCAGCATCTTTTCAGAAGTTGGACTTTGGAAAATATATGCACCCTCAGACAGAAAGGGAAAAAAACCCATCAGACATGCACAAAACTCACACCCTTGAATATATTCCAATTTCCTCAGCCCTCATCTCCCTTAGCTTTTCACAATCAGTAAAGTGCAGTTACCAATCATTGGAAATGACATAAGCTTAATGTCAGAAATCATTTAGCTTAAATAAGAAAATAACTCCATTTAGCTTTCTCCCACAAAGTAAAATTAAGTTTGTTTAGCCCTTTTTTATTTATCGCCAAAGGGCAGATTTAATTTCAAGGGAGTGAAAACCAAACTCATTCCGAGTAAAGTCTTAAGTTACCACTTTAATTTTGCTCTAACTATTGAGGCGCAAAGGCTGTAAGCATTAAACCAAAGAGGCATTAATTACAGAAAAACAATAGGTGAGTAGGACCCACTAAGCTTTCTAATCAGAGGGTGGAGGGTTGGGGGAGAAGTCTGCCATTTTATTTTGCTATATTGCAAATACAAGCAAGCTATAAGAAATCCCACTAGTTCTAGGGGGCCTTTTCAGCCCACCCCGTTGGCCTCCAGTCTCAGGACTTACCAGATACATTAATCGAGAGCCCTGCACCAATGATCCCACTGTTGGGCCTCACGCAGTACCTACGTGGTGCTGTGGTCTTCACTTTAAAACACACATTTCGGTCTGTCGGGTTGCCAAGCTTTAGGTTGGTGGTGACAACATCAGTGAAGGGACCTGTGGAATGAGACAGAGATTGATTGGGGATCTCACAAGAAGAGTTTAGAAGATAGACTGATTTATGGTCTGGGGTCAGGAGAGGTAATGGAATATGGTTAAGAGAAGATTCAAGATCCAAAACTGTCTCACTATCGTGAATAGGAGAGATGAGTGGAGGTTAATGTACGAACAGCAACAGCTAAAATTCACCATGATCTCACCATGCTACCAAGGACCTAGTCAGTGTTCTAACAGACAGTATATCTCACTGAAGCCTCACACCTTTATGATTAATGCTGTTTTACAGATGAGAAAACAGGCTTGGGAAGACATGTTACCTGTCTAAGTTTTCATGCCAGTTAGTGGTAGGTAGGATCTGTAACCAGGCAGCCTGAAGCCAAGGCCAGTTCTTAACCTATGCTAAATACTGATTTCCACAATAACCAGATGAAATCTAACAGGGCGATGGTAAAGGACTAGAATTGGGTCCACAATGATTATCCAGGGCAGGGTGTGCCAAGAGTAGCAGATGTAAGAAAGACTTTGAGGCGTTAATGGTCTATAAACACAGACACCCCCAACAATACAGTGCTGCTGACAGAAAAGTTAGTATCATTTTAGGCTAGAGCAAGTTCAGAGTCCTGTAGGGTAGCCCACACCTGAAACATCACATTCCGTTTAACTACTCAGGCTACTGGGAGGATGGAAACAAAGCTAAGTGCCCTGAGGGTATTTTTTATTATTATTTATTCATTTTCTACTTTATTAGATTTTTTTAATTAAAAAAGTAAAACATGCTTCTTAAAACAAGCCAAACAATAAAAGATGTATAAAGAGGAAGTTAATAAGCTTTCCCTTGTCCCCTGAGGTACCTAATATTAACAATATGGGAGATCTTTCCACATCATCTATGCTTATACAAACAGGACATACATACATGTGTGGGGAGGGGGAAGTAACAAAAATGGGATTATACTACTCACGTTACTCTGAAACTTGCTTTTTTTCCCATTTACCAATGGATGGACACCTCGCCACTAGGTTTATTAAGGAGTCAGGTGGGAGGGTTGAACTACAAAACCTCTTAGGTCCTTTTCTACCCCTTTTCAAATTTATATTTTTTCACCATGTAAATCAGTGATAGCTTTGTGTTTCCTCCAGGCAAGTTCTTTACTCCTGTCTTTACACTTACAAGGAGGTAGGAGATGGGGTGGGGAGGTGTTTGTGCTCATGTGTTCACAAACTAAGAAATACATAATGTTGGTTCATCTGTGAAAACCCAACAAAGACCTTTAAATCTGTGCCTTGAACACTGTTAATGAGATTCTAAGCTCCCGAGGACAAGGATGATACCTTACCCATTTCTGCATCTCAGGCACTGCTGCCCGGCATGTAGTAAAGGTGAGGGAGGGAGAGGAAGTGTGTGTGTGTGTGTGTGTGTGTGTCTATCTATAGATAGACAGATATTCATTCACCAAGGAGGAAACTACCTCGTGGATTTTCACTAGCAAAATTAAAATCTCAGGCTGCTTTCTCTCCTCTAGAGATGCTCAGGGTATGAAAAATCAATTTGATATGGGCTTAACTTAAATATAAATTAAGAAACCAATAATGGTGGAAAGGAAGAAAGGAAAAGGGACTCAATGCTAAAATCAAATAAACTACAACCAGTTCTGCTATAAAGCCTATTTTGAAAACGTGAATTTGTTCCAATGTGATTGATGTGCATATTACGGGGACAATCTGAGCATAAAACAAATTTCACATTTGCTTATGCATGATTTTGTCTGCAAGAAACGCTGGATGAACAGAAGACTGCATCCCCAGCTGCAGGGAGCTGCAGAGAAATACACAACACACACCCCACACACCTCAACACCCGCCAACTACCTCAGCTCACCTCGTGGGTCAGGAGCCACACCCATCCATACCTGGCGTTACAACTTTCCACCCGATTTCAGGGAACCCTCCTTCCCCAACTTCACAGTGACTCACAAACTGCAACTCCTCCCACACCCACTTCCACAGGCGACCTTCAGGTCCCTCTCAAGGTGAAGCACCACATTTACTGTGTTATTTATATATTTCCCACCCATTTAATGTGAGTAAAACTGCGCCACCGCTTCTTAGGCTCCTGTCTTTGTGTGTGTGACTGACAGAGTGTTGGCGTGTGTGCCCTAACCTCATTTCCCCCTCATAAGTCCTGTTTTTGTTTTTGGTGAGGAAGATTCACTCCTGAGCTAACATCTGTTGCCAATCCTCCTCTTTTTTTTGCTTGAAGAAGACTAGCCCTGAGCTAACATCAGAGCCAATCTTCCTCTATTTTGCATGCGGGTCACCACTTCAGCATGGCTGACGAATGTGTAGGTCTGCACCCAGGATCTGAACCCATGAACCCGGGCTGCCAAAGCGAAGCGCACAGACCTCAGCCACTAGCCACAGGGCCAGCTCCAGTCCTGTGGTTTTTATTGTGCTGTTTTGTATGTTTGGTGACTTTTAGGAATGCATATGTCGCATTACAGCAGAACCGACTATACTACTAGATCATCTACTGTTTCAGGGTTACTTACACTAAAAGCTGTTCTCATTCCATGGGCAATGACACCTTCAAGAATGAAATAGCTGAAGAGAATTTCTCCATTTGCTTACCTTTCTTATAAACCCTGCCTCTGCCCCTGGGAGTCAGGCTGGAAGCCATGAGGGGGAGGCACCTTGTAGGTACAGCTGCAGCCAGACCTCGGAAAAGGTGGAGTCTTTGGTATTGCATCTCCCCTACTGACTCCACCAACAACAACCCTCTCTCTGCACTGAGTCATCTCCTTACTGAGCACCAAAAGCTTACACAGGAGGGCAGGTACCCTGTGGCCCAAGAGGATTTTCAGCTCCAGTGAGGGAGAGCCAGATGCTGACAACGCTCCAGCCCTGTATCAAGTTTTTGGCATCGAGGGGGAAACAGGACACTTGGTGCTGAGGTAGTGTTTGGGGGATTACGGAGGCAGCACCTCTTTGTGACTCTTCCTTTTCCCACTTTCCAACGCATGCAGTCTGACTCAAAACCAAGATGGAGCAAATCTGATCTCTCATTACGTCTCCTTGCTTGCTTAGGGTGGAGATCACTTCAATGGTAAAGAAAAAAAGAATAGCTAAACATAACTAAAAGCAATTAAACACATGCACACACACGCACACATCAGCGGCATGCGGACCACAACCACCGCGTACACGCACTCCCTGGCCTTCACGTGAAAACTGCCCGTCACAAGAACGCCACGTAAGCAGAGCTCCAGCTCAAACAGCCGCACAGTGCTGGGGGAAAGAAGAAGAAGAGACACACAAATGTGTGACTGCACAGAGACACCTGAAAGGGGATGAGCTTTCAAACACAGAGCCTGGGGGGAAAAAGGTACTCACTGACAATTTGAAGGTGATTTGTAAACTATGAGGCCTTCAAGTTTTCCAGATAAAGGTTAAAGCTATTAGTTTCAACAATATTCTGCCTCAAGAACACGCAAGCATCTTCAGATCAGAAGGCCAAGTATTCATAATGGCCCACAAACACACCCCAAAAAAATACAGATTTTTCTAAGGTGGTCTGAAGTATACTGAATGCAGAAAATAGGGATGCTGGCATGATTTTACTACGACGAAATTAAGAATACTTACTCGCTTACAACTCAGTTTCTAGTGTCTCTTCCTCCCCATCCTGCCTCACGAAGTTGAGGGGAAGGGACTCAAGTATTAGTTTATCCCTGACATTGACCTTTCCTTCTGGGTATGCCACAAAAATAAACCAAATTTAACTGTAAACACTAACCTGTTTTTGGAAATTCTCCCAGTTAACCTATTACATAGCAATCTAAACAGTGTTTCAACCTATATGAATCACAATAAAGGTAGTCTAAATTATTAAAAGAAAAACAATATTTGTAGTAATAAGCAGGATAAAATAAATATCCCAGATTTCTCCCTCAACACTCAATCCTGGGTCTTGAAGTGTTAGAGATTTCTTGGCTTACACAGATTCTTATTTGTAGACACCTGGAAGGAACCTTACTGAAAATATACGCACGTGAACAACAACACTGGTAAAAGAGCTAAGTCTCGCAAGTAAAAATCAAGACATTGAGTAAAAACAGGCCAACCCTCCTCTCCCCACCCCAGGCAATTTACTCTAAGAACTTTATTGAAAATAAATTCTATTCGATTTGAGTAATTATAGGAAATAAACCATGTTAGTGTTCTCCTTTTCCCCTGTATTAATGAATTAGAATACACAAAAACCTCAATAAAAATGATGTAAAGGCTTATGAGCATCATTCAGATTTTTACTAGCCCTTTCATTTCATACAACTGCCATTTCCATTAAAGCATTATGTAAAAAATGGGATTTTACTATACCAACATGCTTATTTATCACCAATGAATTTAAACATGGCTTACAGAGTCAATTTTACAAACAAAATCTCCTCCAAAAGTTAGACTCTTTTCTTTTAAGAGATGAAAACAATGAGTTGGTATCCCCAGAACTGCAGCACACCCTTGAATCATGTTTCTTTCTATTCTCCAACTCCTTATTTTAGGTAATGTTTATACACAACGAGGAACTAAGCATCTAAAATGTGAAACAGGAGGTCAAAAAAATGAAGCAAAATAAATTTGAGGGAAATTAGGAATATTCTTAAAGTGAATAATGTTCTTTATGCCCTATATTATACATATTCCTCTGTGAAAATTCTTGTGAGTTTGACAGATGCTCATGAATAGCATTAACTAATTTGAATATGAACTCTTTGACATGCTCTAAAAGGTATGCACGGTATAAACTATTTCCTCCACTCAGGCTTGGCTTATTGTCATTTTAAAGTGTGTATTTTAAGACAGTAAGATCTGGAATTGACCTGTCTTAAAAGCAAATAATACAATGCCCGCAGAAATATGCACAGCATTAAAAGTGAAAGGAGGAACGGTTAATTTTTCAGTCTTTCTTACAAAAATGGAGCCTTAGAATTATAAAGTGGTTTAAAGGTCAAGGAAAGAAGGTCATGATCCAGCTAACTTCTCAACAGTAAGAGGTCAGGTTCCAGGTATCGAAAATTTCGCCACAGTAGCTGGATAGACTGATCAATCAGGAAACACAAGAGCATATTGCAGAAAAAGCATTCCATTAAATCTTTAAACATTTTACCCTTCTATGCATGGTTTAAGTACTTCTCTTCTGCAATCGTTCATTCAAAGACTTATGGAGGAAAAGACTTTAACAAAACTCTTCCTTTCAGGAAATCCTTTACAAAGGAATAACTTAGGAGTTCAGGTCCCAACAACTGTAAAGGGTGACAGTGAAAACTCCAAGTGGATTAACTCAAAACTCAATCTTGGCCTCAGTTATCTGTGTACCCTCAAGCATATCACATCACCCCATCTGTAAACAGCAGGACAGGATTCTTTCAAGGATAAATATATCCTTTATTTTTACACAATTCAATTAGAAAATAAAGACATACAAAATAAAAAACACACAGAACTGCAAAACTCCTAGAAGGTAACATAGAAGAAAATCTAGATAATCTTGGGTTTGGCAATGACTTTTCAGATACAACACTGAAGGCACAATCCAGGAAAGAAATAATTGATAAGCTGAACCTCATTAAAGTTAAAAACATCTAACACTGACAACATCAAATGCTGGCGAGGAAGCAGAGCAACAGGAACTCTCACTCATTGCTGGTGGGAGTGCCAAATGGTAGGTACACTCTGGAGGACAGTATGGCTGTTTCTTAAAAAAAACTAAATACCCTCTGACCATACAATCCAGCAATCACACTCCTTGGTATTTACCCAAAAGAGTTGAAAACTCATGTCCACACAAAAACCTGCACATAGATGTTTACAGCAGCGTTTTTCATACTGTCACAACTTGGAAGCAACCAAGATGCCCTTCAGTAGGTGCACAGATAAACTGTGATATACCCAGACAATGGAATATAATTCAGCACTAAAATGAGCCATCATGCCATGAAAATTCAGACATAGAGGAATCTTTTTTTTTTCTGAGGAAGATTCCCCCTGAGCTAACATCTGTTGCCAATCTCTCCACCAGCATTTTTTTTTTTTTTGGCTTGACGAAGATTAGCCCTGAGCCAACATCCGTGCCAATCTTCCACTATTTTGTATGTCAGTCACCACCACAGCATGGCTGACAAATGGTGTAGGTCTGTGCCCAGGATCCAAACCTGCAAACACAGGCCGCCGAAGTGGAGAGCGCCGAACTTAACCACTACACCACAGGGCCAGCCCCTACAAGGAGGAATCTTAAATGCATATTACTAACTTAAAGAAGACAATCTGAAAAGGCTACATCCTGTATGATTCCAATTATGTAACATTCTGGAAAAGGCAAAACTATGGAGAAAGTAAAAAGATCAGTGGTTGCCAAGGGTTAAGAGGGGAGGGAAGGATGAACAGACAGAGTACAGAGGATTGTTAGGGCAGTGAAACTATTCCGTGTGATACTATAATGGTGGATACATGTCATTACACATTTGTCAAAACCCACAGAATGTCCAACACCTAGATTGAACCCTAAGGTGGACTACGGACTTCGGGTGATAATGATGGTCAACACAGGTTTATCGATTACAAATGTATCACTAATGCTGGATGTTGACCGTGAAGGAAGCTGTGCATGTGTGGCGCCAGAGGCATATAAGAATTTTGTACTTTCTGCTCAGTTTTGCTGTGAACCTAAAACTACTCTAAAAAATAAAGCTTTTTTTCCTTCAAAAAAAAGAGGAGGAAAAAAAAGTATTTGGCCTTTATATTAATTAACCTTTGGTAGCACTCTCCCCCCCAACATTTCTATATTAAATATTACTGAGATTTTGAAATATATATAATATATAAATGAATAAATAAAATATATATACATGAATAAATAAAATATACATATAAATGAATAAAGATGCTTTGTTTAACAAAGAGATTGCTTTTCTTCCTTTTTCTGGAGTTCATGAAATTCTAGTGTTACAAATACACATCCTCCCTTTGTAATATGTCTCGTGATGTAGCTACAATACTTTGAAACTCAAACTTGTATCTGTTACCAAATAAGTTATATACCAATTTGATATATAATCTATCAGGTCTCAGCTTTCCAGATATAAACTTCAAGTTATTAGCTCCACAACAGTTTTTTTCACTCTGCATAAAAAGAGCTGTATTACTTTATATTCTTGCAGACACAATTTAGGTACAGTATCTCTCTTTTCTTCAATCCTTCCAAAAAACAAGTTACCATATTTCGCTTCAACTCCAAAAAGATTACCTTCTGGGAAGGTAATAATGTCTCCAGAAGCCTAGGACTGATGATGGATTTTGTTAAGACAATAAAATTATGCTTGAGGTTTCAATACAAATAGACTCTGCATGGGAAAAGTCTATTAAAATGGGGGGAAACGGACACTATAAAGTAAAATCCGCTGGATACCTTATAGATGTCTCTAAAATTTATTCTTTGACAGTCTATTTTCATTAAAGTATCCTACTGCTTCCTGCTTTCCCAACTCATCTGCAGTGCACCCAACAGTCACATTATTTCTTTTCTTGTTTATGCAAGTCTTCCCCTCCAGAATAGAAACTCCACGAACACACAGACTTTTCTGTCCCTCTTGTTCACTACCGATCGTTAGCACCCAGAACACTTCCAGACATGGAGCAGATGCTAAATTTACTGAATGAATGAATGAATGAATGGCCATGCCATGCTTCTATCTATTTTCAACAATGGTTTTATTCTTCCTGCACGCACCCTCTAGTATGCACAACCAGGCTCTGGGTGAGTGAACACTGAGCCCATGCTGCTCCCTCTCTAGTATGACCACCCTTTTCACCTTCAGCATAGAACTTATCATCAACTGGTACTTCATCTGTTCCTCTCCTGACTGTCTCCCACCTAGAGTAAACCTGCACATGAAAGGAGACAGCACCTGTGCTATTCATCACTGGATGCCCTGAGCTTGGAACAGTGCAACATACGTAGTAAAAGGACCCAAGAGATGTGTGCAGCATGACTGAAGGCCAGGCTTCCTCAGAGGCGACTCAACTCAGATTCTGACATGTTTCCTATAAACAGATGCCTACTCTGTAACATGGATCTGAAGTCACGATAAATTGTGCTGTTCATATACAGGGCGAAGGTATTAAAAATGTTCACTTGTGTCAATAATGCTTTCATCATTACTATTCTATGATAATTTTGTTTAAAGCTGCCCCCTCTAAAAACTGAAAAAAAGATTTCATAGTAACAGATA